AAGTTCTAGGAAGAAGAATCACATCAATGGTCCACGCCAAGAACAGTCATGAGCAAAAAGTTCAAAGCATGAGTTTCAAGGTGCGGGCACCCGTCGAAAACCAGTAGGCGCCTGCCGTTTTGGGCCGAGACTTCATGCACCCGCGGGCGCCTGCCAAAATGGGCCGAAAGCTATAAAGGCATGGGCGCCCGCCAAAGTGACGAGAGAGGCGCGGGCGCCCGCCAATCTGCAGACAAATGGGTATAGGTCTGCATTATTTCCTTCAAGGCTGTCCCCTTGACCTATTGTGTGGTCCTGATTTCTCCTAGGGTTGTTAAGCCACGAAAATGGAGGGAAAATGAGGATGTTTTTTGCTAGATAAGAGGCTTGAGGCTTGTATTATCATATATCTCATTTTTGCAAGTTTTAGAGAGATAAATATTGTAAGGTTAGGGGGTTTTTGTGTCTTGGAGCTCTAAGCACGAAAATGGAGGGGTTCTTCATCCTTTCTCCTTCCTCTATTGCATCCATAGGCAACTAACTCCCTATCTAGGGAGGTGATGAAGCCCTCTCTAGTAAGCATGTTCTAGTCTTGGTTTATTTTGGGGGAAATGATGTATATTTATGATTTTTTTCACAATCTAGAGTATTCATTTTGCCGTAATGAATTCTAATCTCTATAAATGATTATGTTGAAGCTATTGTCTTGTCTTAGATTCTAATTTCTCAAGATTATATGGCTTGTTTTCTCATAGTGACAATGGAAATGAGGTTGTGGAATGGTTTTAATGGCATGATGTTTAGGAAGTTTAATAGTCTATAGCTTAGGGCCTTCCTTTGATAGACTATTATTGATTTCTAACTTCATGTGCTTTTATCATGTGATTAAAGGCTTGATAATCTCTAGCTTAGTGGGCATGTCTAAGGCTGCATCTTAGTTTAGGTGGTCAAAGCATGTAAAACTTTGATTGGTTATTCTTGCCTATTGATTTCATAAATTTCTTGAAGGTAATGTAGCAATCTTGTGTTGTTGCATTCCATGGTCATATGTATATGTTGTTCTCCCAAGTAAATCATTCTCTAGCATGTTTATAAGGTAGGTAGTGAATTCACTTCCCTAGTCCTCTTTTCCTAGATTTCTTTCCTCTAAATTTCTTGCAAATTATTGTTTTATGCAATTTTAATTCCTAATTCTAGTGACAAACCAACCAAAACTCTATACCCCCTTTTATCATACTCAAAGTGATTTCACAACCTTGATTGTCATAAACTAGCAATCCTAGTGGTTCGACTTACCCGTCCAATAGCCCTATTTTACAATGATTTGTGCTATTGCAAATGGTTGATTATTATTGATAGTCGACGAGACCTGATCAAACTTGTTGAACAAAATGTCGTGTCTTTAGAAAAAATGCATACTGATCAAAATTTGGCTGATATTCTCACTAAACCATTAGATGCTCCTAAGTTTTCTCATTTTAGGAAATCTATTGGTGTCTGTTGTCATGATTAGATGCATTGCAGAGACATAGTTTAGAAAGGATTTTCATGCATATTTTGAGTGTCTAGATTATGTTTTTGGGAAGTTAAGCAAAACATATTGATTGAGTATGTAGAACACAAAGAGTTTAATGATGCATAGATTATCTGTGGAAAGCATACAATGGCTATGAATTGATGAAATTAGTTTTGCTTACTTATTTCATATAGTAAATGAATCATTGATAGTACATTTACTTGAGATATCATTATTTTGGTTAAAGATAATGTGAACATGATTGATCATTGTCTAAGGAGTTAAACTTGATTTATGTGTTTTAGACCAAAAGAGTTAAAAGAAAAGAAAATTGAAAAACAGCTTGGAATGAAAAAGTTTTTGAAAAAGAAAGAAAAATATTTGCTATTTTGAAAAAGTTGAGATGGAAAAGGCTATCTTTGAAATTTGTCCCAAAGCTACCTTGACTCGAAATAAATGGAAATAAAGGAAAGAACTGGCTGCCCATAAGCGTGAAAGCATCTAATGTGCAAAAAGAAAAATGAAACACAAAGAGAGAAAAAAAATATGTCTTTTGCACATGTTGATTGTTTGATTTCTAAAGATATGTGATATCATTGATTTATTATCTGAAATCTGAACAAGTGACAGATCATATGTTTTTGGGACTTGGTTGTGATTTTACTATACTTACTAAGTTTGTGGAACTTCATTGAATTGATCTTACTTATTTCTGTTAATACATATAATCTTGTGTAGTCTATATTCTCATTGGTTTCAATTTACAAGATTTATATGATTGGTTGCTTCCTACTTCTAGGATATTTCTTCCTTGTGACCCTTGTTAATTTGTGACAAAAAAGGGGAAATAGAGTTTAGAGTCTTATCATTCAAGGGTAGAGATACTTTTTGCATTAAGGGGGAGAACTTTTTGCATTGAGGGGAAGAATTAACTATTAATCATTGCATGTGTTTACATTGCGTTGATAGTCAGGCATTAAAATTTATTATTTTATGCTTGTATTTATTTTCTTGATTAAGTTTCACGAGTAGTTGTGTTTCTGCTAATGTGCAGATTACAGGTTGCTACATGTGTTGAGGCTTCATAAAGTTCAAGAAACATTCCGCGGTTTATTTCCTTTAACAATCATTATAATTTACTTTCCTGTTTGGGTAGATTGCTGAATTGGTTTTAGGGTTTTGTCACAAAATTACCAAAGGGGGGGATTGTGAGATATATATTTTGTAATTGGCTAATTTCGTTGTCAAAACAAGTCCGATCGAGTTGTAATTTTTCGGTTCAAAATTTTAAAGATTAGAGATCGGATGCGGATTTGAAAAAGTTCAAGTGTTCATGATATACTACACTCCGAGATGATGAGAACAATGCTCTAAAAAGTTTTGAGAGGTAGTGAGAACATTTAAGAAGGGTGTTGAAAGGTTCGGAACAAGTTTTTACATTCTGTCCATCTTGAACTAGTTCAAGACTTATCGAACAGGTTTAACATCAGCAGAATTGCCTAAGTTTCAAGACTGGCCACCTTAAACCGATTCAAGGGGGCTGAACCAATTCAAGAATTCGAGGGATTCTTTACTGGCCATCTTGAACCAATTCATCCCCTCTGAACCGATTCAAGGTCTCCTAGCAGCATTTGGATTTTAGTTTCCTTTTTACTGTTTGAAAAAGCTCAAGTATTCATGATATACTACACTCCGAAATGATGAGAACAATGCTCTAAGAAGTTTTGAGAGGTAATGAGAACATTTAAGAAGAGTTTTGAAAAGTTCGGAACAAGTTTTTACATTCTGTCCATCTTGAACTGGTTCAAGATTTATCGAACAGGTTCAACATCAGCAGAATTGCCTAAGTTTCAAGACTGGCCATCTTAAACCGGTTCAAAGGGGCTGAACCGGTTCAAGAATCTGAGGGATTCTTTACTAGCCTTCTTAAACTGGTTCAGCCCATCTGAATCGGTTTAAGGTCTCCTAGCAATACTTGGATTTTAGTTTCCTTTTTGCTGTTTGTTTCCTTTTTGATCCTAACTTCTTTCCAAGTCCTATGCACAAAATTTTTCATATTTTCAGAGGGATTAGGACTTTATAAACTTTATATAAATCTTGTCATACACATAGGTACATTGATTTTATAGCTTAAGGAAAAATCAATTCTATATTTTGAGAAGGCCTTTTAGAAAGAGATAATTCAGAAAATCAAATCTAATTGTTTTGAATTTATTTATGAGAGCATACGCATATATTCATAAGTGATTTAATAATGTTCTTCTCTATCTCATCGGAATTGGAGTTATATTGAAGATTCAAATATTTCCAATGAAGAGCAGGATTTAATTCTTCTACATCGAGTTCAAATCTTGAAGAACAGAAGTAAAAGTGATCACACTTTGAAAGGGTTGGAGCATTTGAGGAGTGTTGTCTGATCTACCTGCTACTCTTCTACAAATATCAAATATAAGCCTGAGGTCAAGTTGCTATTGGACAGGGAGTCACAAAGCTAGAGGATTGTCAACAATTGGTATTTGGTAAAACGATAGGGTGTGAACCAGTGTCAAAGTGCGGTATACTTTGTTTCAAATATAGTGAATCAGTTTACTTTAGACTCAATAGTTCACGAGATTTTTCTCATGCAAACAGTTGACGTATTTTATCAATTGGGGTTTCCTCGCTAAAAATCCTGGTGCAATCTTTCTAAACTTTTACTTACTTTACTTTACAGTATTTAATTTGTGATTGTGGATGTTTAAATTAATCATATTGCTTAAGTAATTTAATCAATCACAAATTGGTCAAGTTAACCTAATATTAAGATCTAGGTCATTAAAAGAGTTAATCACAATTAAAATTAACTAACTATTTTCGCATTCCGCGGAACTCTATTTTCACAATTTCAACCACATTTCTTAATACTAATCCATAATCATCTTCTAGCTTAGCAATGTCTTTGGTAGGGCCGTGGGCCGTGGGTAGTTGAACCCCACCTCCTACGCTGGGAGTAAAGGGTATGCATCAGCATACAACCCCTTGCGATATAAAAATGCTTATTTGGTAACACTATTATCTCTCATTATTAATTATGAGCTTATTTGGTAACACTATTATCTATCGTTATTAATTTTGAACGTACACTTGCTTAAAAAAAAAAAAAAAAAAAAACGAAACAATATATTTAAAAGAAATGAGTCCATAACAAAAAATTTTGACGACTTGATTGATGTCCGAACTCCAAAATAGACTTTTAATTGCCTCCAAATAAATTCATGCCACTCACCACAAACACTAAAGAGAGTAGTTTCATTCAAAAGGAAGACAAATTGAAAACTGAAACGAATATGTTTGACAAATGAGCCTACAAAGCAAAAATAACCCAAATAAAATGACACTGCTCAAAAGGAGTCAATGCACCCTTTAAAAAAGTCTTCCAAGTAGCTTCTTCCCAATCTTGAACCAATGCACCCTTTATAAAAGTCTTCCAAGTAACTTCTTCCCAATCTTGAATAAAGCGTAAGCATCATTTGCTGCATACTCCATATGTTCATCAAAAAAATCACAATCGGTACCATATGCAACACTCGCTGGCTTCTCCTTTAGCTCGAGATTTCCCACTTCAGAAGCCAATTCTGATACACCACATACTCTAAGACTAGGTCTCCTCAGAACATAAGCTGCATGCTCACTAATGTCAACAGCATTTCTGAACACAATTCCATAATCATTTTCAAGCTTAGCAAGGTCTTTGGCAATATGAATTCCAACAAAAGTTGCATCCTTTAGAGCAAGAAAATTCTTCAAAATTGCGTAAGAGAGAAACTTTGATTCTACAAAGAAAAAATTATATTCTGTGCCCAACACCAACTGAACTATTTCTGGTATGAAACCTCTCCCTTTACAAGAAATTCCACCGGGCTTCCATAGGAGGTCAAATACAATGATTTTTTTATTTCTCTGTGCCCAAAGCTCATTGAGACAACTTTCCAGCTTGTCTTCATCTGATACAAGTTCTAACACCATCTCTCCATCATCCATTTCAAACTTTGGGCAATTTCTATTACCAATCTGTGGCAAAATAATAACAGACCTTAACTGATCCATTAGGAACCAAAAATTGAAATATGAAACAATGACTATATAGGTAGAACAAATATAATACAAATACTATCAAAATCAGTAGTGAATGATTAGTATGAACATTAAACTCTAATGAAACAAAAACATAATTCAGTTACGTAGTTCAAGGTAAGAAACTTTAAAATTCAAATTTCATCATTTAACAATTCTAATTTTAGCCATTTGAGTGGTGAACGTAACACTAGTTCCATGAATTAAATTCAAAATAACTAACGCATATGTAGAAAATTTAGAAAGTTTTCTGTAAGATTATATATGGTTGATTTTATCATTGAGAGAAAGAAAAAGAAAGTTCCTTTCAAAAAAAGAAAAAGAAAAAAGTAAAAGAAAGTAAGAGAGCTTACAAATTATGTATAGCAGTCCTTGAAACTTCAAAAATTCAGAAATTAAGCTGTGTCTTGAGAGAGTAGTAAAAAGAAAGTCATAACCTTGCTAATATATATATAAGTAATACATTAACAAGGTCATGGTGTGGACTGTAGAGTCCCGAAGACACAGTGGTTTGGTTTTTATCTAGGAATCTGTTTAATTAATTACCTCTTTTAATTTTTTGAATGACACAATTTTTTTTATCTCATTCTCATCCTGTATTTGTGATAGTTCTTTGATATTCCCTACAAACTTTAATTCTAACAGTGTTACTTATTATCCTCTTTGACTCTTTGTCTACCTTATTAATAGGGTCAAAAATACTTTGAAATTCTACAATACGCGGGTATTTTGATAAATGGCAACCCTCCCGATTAAAACTGACTATTTATCTGACAATTAATTTTCGCCTGTCTCAAGATGGTGAGAGCACGTTCTTTTTTATATTTTATTTTTCTTGAGAAATACAGAAAAGTTAAGTGCTCATCGATCTTTTAAAAAAATAGGTAAGTCCTCTTTTACTTTTATCAAACTAGTAATAGCGCCACTCATATAGAAGATGTGCATCCTGAAATAATGCTTTGAAATTGATATGTTAGTATACTGTTGATCATAAGTTCATTTTAGATATGATCCGAAAGTTAAAAATATTATAACAATTTTAAAATTTTATTAAGCTCAAAATAAAAATATTATTATAAATATAATGCACATTGATTACAAAATTAGGTTTATATATCACTCCATATTATCTACAAATAACACTCTCTGTTGTTTTTTTTTTTTTTTTTGAAAGGTAACATTCTCTGTATTGCATATTAGATTTGTAGATAAAAAATATTTATATTAATCTATGTACTTGTTATAATTTCTATATAAATTTTTTTTTGTGAATATTCTTGGTTCTTAGTTGAGTGAGAGTAAATAATTTTCTTTTGAAATTAAACAAGAATTTTATGGTCACCATAGTTTTCTGTAGCACATGAAACTCTTTTGTCAGTCAAAAAAATACTTATTGAAGTTTTAAATTTAATTATAAAATATAAACGTCAACCGTACTTAAAATAATTACTTATAGGTACTAAATAAATATTATTATAACCATTATAAAATCAAATTAACTTTTTTTTTATATATAAGTGATATGTAGTTAGTCATGGTGTGGACTGTGGAGTTCGAAGAGACGAGATCGACGTTTGGTGTTAATCAAGAGTCGTTTATTTAATTACCTCTTCTTAATTTTTTTTTTTTTTTTTTGACTGATTTTAATTTTTTTTGTCTCAGTCTTATGACTCTTTACCTTTTATGGAGTAGTATGTGAGAGTTCTTTGATATTTATTAAAAACTTTAATTTCTAAGACTGCATGTTACTTATTATCCTCTTCATCTACATTATTTATAACTTCAAAAGTATTTAGATGCTACTTACTCTGTTCCAAAAAGAATGTTATTATTTTTTTTTTTTCTAAAATAATTGTCTATTTTTTTTTTTCAAATAATATATTTTACATTTTTGGAGTTTAAAATTTTAAACTTGAATATTCAAAACTTAAATGACAAGTTAGTAACTTTACAGAAGATAATACATGATCCACACATCCCCTTAAAAATTTTTACTTTTCAAAAAGGATTTTTTTTTTTTTTTTTTTTTTTTAGAATAGAGAGAGTGTTTTTTAACTTGCCAATACAATATTTTATTATTTTTAGCTCGATTTATGGTGACTGAGGGACAAATTTTCTTGGGCCACCCCTACCGAATATTTAAGTAATTGCTTGATCTATAAGCAGCAGGGAGAGTACCAAGTAAATATATAGTCAATAATAAATTATAAAATGTTCTAAGAGACTCTACAATACTATATATATATATATAATATATATATATAGATAGATAGTGACTAGCGGGACAAATTCTAAGATTTTTAATTTTCAGTAATTAAAATTTAATATAATCAATTGTGCACATTTTTCTTGTGCGTATACTCATTGTATAATTTAAAATATCTTTGTAATTAGAATCAATAGTGCAAACAGCTTAAGCGCTAAAACCACTATAAAAAAAAAAAAAAAAAAAAAAAAAAAAACAAAGAATAGAAAAATGATATTCAATCCTACTGATAAGGACCATTTAAATAAATTAGTCCAAACAGATTGGATAAGGTAATTCAACCATAGTTGACTAGTTTGAGATTAAACAGAGGCGTTGAACAGATAACAAATAGATCACAACAGTTCAAATTCAAAACATCAATAGTCTTCTCGAATATCTCCTCAAATCCCAATAAGTCGCAACAGTTATACCAGAGCATCGTTATAACTATAATCTCTCACAAACCAAAGAGGTATGGGACAATTAATATATTAAATTCCTCCTTTTACTTCAGAACTCCACTCCAGTAACTGATTTGATCGTCGAAAAGTTCTTGGCAAGCACCACACCAGTGTTGATCAAGGTTCACCTAGTTGTTGCAGGGAAACGGTGTCGTTCGGGATTGTGCAGAATCATGCTTCAACAGTTGGCGCCGTCTGTGGGAATGTATAATGATTTTCCAAATAAATTAGGGGCTTATCGCGACTCAATCTGAATGTCGTTACTACAAGAAAAATAATTTTTTACCACGGTAGAAAACGTTTTCCACCACGGTTTTCAAACCGTAGTAGAAACTGCCATGGTTGTAAGCAAAAGGTTTTCTACCACAGTGCAAAACCGTGGTAGAAAGTCTTCTTTCTACCACGGTTCGGTTCTGTACTGTGGTAGAAAAAGTCTTTTTACCATAGTGCAGAACCGTGGTAAAAAGTATTATATAATTTTTTAAAAAAAAATAGTGTACAACCCCTATAAGGCTTTCTTTTTTTTTTTTTTCCCCTAATACTAGCTTTGCAAGGACCCCCATAAGCAAACCCTATAAATAAAAAATAACATCATAACCAAAATAACTTACAATTGGCCAATAACATCATATATATATATATATATATATAACCAATTCCAAATCATGATTTTATACAAAAATATATACAAATTTCAAAGAAGTACATGATCCACACCTTTATCTTTACTTAACAGAAATGAAACAAAAATTCTTCATATCTTCTTGCTTTGTTTTAGTCTCTCTCTTCCGTATATGCAACTTCTTGATCATGAGCCATACAAAAAATATAACGGCAACAAAAAAAGTAACGAGAACCGCAATCCTAGCTTTGACCTACAAAATATAATAGTTGAAGTAAGACAATATAAAGCAAGTTGTAAATTTGTCAAAATTAAACCAACCAAAATAAGCATTATACATGGATGAGAGAGGGAATTTCTCTATGGCCATCTCAAAAAGACATAAATGGTGGTGGTCAAAAAAGAAGAAACAGAAGAATGTTTGCACAATAGAAACTTCAAACCATTGGCTGGGCCTGAAAGATGCATTTTTGCTAGGGTTGGGAGGCTGAGAATAATCCCATCTCTTTTTTTCATGTACAGTCTCTGAATTTTTTGAGCCATCCTTGCCTTGATGCATTGGACTAAGCATATTGGTAATTCTAGCAATTTAGTATAAAATCTTCAATTTGGGACCTACCAAATATTTCAATCTTAATTTACAAGCAAGTTTAGCCTGCATTACTGTATTTTGTTGGTCTAATCTCTATAGCAAAAACAGTTTGTATAATCATATGAATATTGTTGAAGCAAGTAGTATATATATATATACTGATAATTAATTACTTGGACCACTAGAAGAATTAGTTGATGCCAATAAAATATAAAATAAATAAATAAATAAAGTCTATCATGACTAGGGTCTCAATCAAACAGCTTAGGGGACACTTTGTTCATGCCCAAAGATAGTTTTTACCATTGAAAACTAACAATTGCTATTATGGTAGATTGGTGATTCAATATTATACTGCAGTCCCAAAGATGCAACCTATATGAATTTGTTTATATAATCATGAAGGAATGTATCAAATTATGTAAATCATATAAAAAATGACTTTAGCTGATCAAAACCAAAAAAAAAAAAATTCAATTTGAGCATACATAGAAGAAAATTTATAAGCTAATTAAGCATGGTTATGGTAGAAAATATATAGAAATAATCAACCTTTGTTTCACCTCTTTACATCTATCACTACTCTCGATCAATAGTCCCAAGATAGATAAATTGCAAATAAAAATTGCATAAATCACTCAAACTTTTAAGTATTGATATAGACTAAAATTGGTTCTTTTTGAAAATTAATATCATGCATATATAAACTTAGAATTAACCCAAACTAGCCATCTCGAATCTGGATATGAATATGACTGGTGGCATCATAGAAAGCACATAGAATTGGTGCTTGTATCAATAGCTAGGGTTTACCCTTTATTCTATTGACTTACCACTAATTGCTAGACATCAGCGTTAACAACAGTGTTTTGAAACTGCTAGACATCACTAGTGTCGGTCAACATATACCATATTAGTTATCTCTCACATCTCTTATCACTTAACATTTAAAGAAATCCAAGAAATCTAGAATAATAAAATCTTTGTCAAAGAATAATAAAATCTAGAATTAAAGGACAACTGGCACTTGGATTCCAAGTGACCACTCACCCATTAAGTTTTTTTACTAGAATTCATGAGACTATTTTCAAGAGAAGGAAATCTTTTTTTAGGAAAATATTGCCAATGTACTAAAAGTTAGCCTACATTTGGTGACAAGTTCTAGAATTAAGTTTTTGTACTACAATTGGTGACAAGTTCCTAATTTGCCACTTGTTCTAGATGAAGGGAAGCTTCAGTTCTTGGTTATAGTTTGTTCATTTAACTCAAAATGTCATGCTCCTAATATTTTGTTATTAAGTAATAAGGAATAAATAAATCTCTTGAAAATACAAATTCTTACCCCTAAAGGACAGGCCTAGATACAGACGTGCTATATAGCATGCTAATGCAATAATTCATATCTAGAACTACCTTTAAACATATAAGTATGTCGGGGATTCAGAAAGGTAAGATATTGTGCTCCATCAGGACCACCACCGACAGATTACTTTCAGATTCAATGATTTTATATGAAAACAAGTGAGGAGTGAAAAATGCCTCATGACAATTTTACATGTTGGAAAAAATAGCATATATATATATGTAATAACTATGCTAAAAGTTAATACCATAATTTCTGTTCATTGTGCTCAGTCAACAACTAAATCTAGCATCAACGAACAGCTAGAGGATCTCCTACAATAGAGTGATAAGAATTATACATGAAATGAGAAAGAAAAACAAGCAAAATTGAGTGACACATACATCTTTGTTTCTTGTTGCGAAAATGATGCAATTGCACCAAGTCCACCTAGATACTTAAAATATATTTTGCACATGAAGTACATATATTATTTATAGATATTGCTTGTAAATTTTTAGCAGGTCTCAACTTGCTAGATCCAAGTGACAATCATAAAAAAGAAAAAAGAAAAGAAAAGAGGATCAACCAAGGAATTAACTTTGATAAATGGCATTTTTGTTTCTTGGTGAGAAGATACACACTGTCATAAAGAGAAATAAGACAATATGAAAAAGGCAGAAAAACAGTTAGATTTCAGATTGACAGACAGTAAAAACCATCTATGTAAAAACAGAATGCAAAGGTATCATGATAATCTGAAATAATAGGACATGTTCCTGTAAGATAATACAATATGCCTTTATCTTGACGCACAGTTTAGATCTCTATTACCCCCGAACGGAACACAAACTTGGGCATTTACAATATTTAATGTAAACAAATATGGGATTCAGAATAGAAAAGGAATGGAAACAATTATAGAAATTATCTCAAAGCAGCATAATTAAGCTACTGAAATCCCTACCAATTAGATGATAAGTTGAAGATGATGATATGAAATGCCTATAGTCCAGACCCTTTTTTTTGCCTTCCTTTCCCTTTGTTTTTCTCTTCTTCCTAGAGACCACCAGCAACAACAATGTCCTCTTCCTTTCCCTTACAACCTGCAACCAAATAAAATTGATGAATCTAACCAAATTGTTTTTTCTTCATAAAAAATCATCTTCATTTCATTACAAACAATGATTTATACCATACACTCACCGGTAACTCATAATTGCTCATTTGTCTCTTCGAAATTGGGCAGGCGAAGCTTACCCTACAACGCGATTTGGCCCAAAGCTCCAAGATAACTCGTAATTGCTCCTTTGTCTGTTCGAAATTGGGCCAGCGAAGCTTACCCTACAACGCGATTTGGCCCAAAGCTCTAAGATTACTCGTAACTGCTTCTTTGTCTATTCGAATTTAAGCTGGCAAAGCTTACCCTACAACGAGATTTGGCCGAAATCTCCAAGATCAAACAAAAGCAATGACGAAGAGAAGTGTGAATCAGAGGCAAAAACCCTTTGCAAAATGCAACATCCCCAAATCGAAGAACGAATCAGCCAATGACCAGATCTGAACCCATGGGTAAAATGGAACCTTCTAATGAGCTAAATGGAGAGGTACGTCGCTAAAAATCGTGGTTTTACCGTTGAATTTGTTGTTCCAATCGGTTGCCGAAGATGTAAGAAAATTGTTCTCTCAATTTGGAAAGAATAATTCTTGAAAAATATTTTCTCTTTTTTTTTCCCTCTCTTTCCAGTCTATTTATAGACTGTTACGACCGTTCTTGAAGCTTTCTAATTGATTTCCTTGTGATAGGCTGGCCTTTTGAGTTCACCTTTATGTTGGACCCATTTCCTTTTGTCTTAGTTCGGGCTTTCAAACTGATCTTCCGTTCTGGGCCTGCTCAACGAGGACTTAGTTCATTTCAGTTGTTCTTACCTGACCCGTTCCTAGCAATCTGGGTCATGCTCGGCCCAGTCCATTTTTGGTGTCCTCATCTGTCTCCATAATCTCTCCTTAATTAATTAGGGTGAAATTATCGAAAGGACATAATTATGATGTGACAGCTCGAGGTGATGACGTGGGGAAACGAACAGTTAGTTCAAAGAACGGCGATTTGCTGCACCATTACTATCATGGTTTCTTGGGCGTTGAATCATTTCCTTTTTAAAAACCTTAGCCTCCAATTACTTATCTTCCGCTTCTATCTCTCTCACCTTTATCCTTAAGCTCCATATTTTCTAATTATCTCTGTCAACTTCCAGTTTCCTCCGGTGAACTTTCCTTGTCTTCTCCGGTGAGCTTCCCCTTCGTGATTCTTCAACTTTCAGGGTGCACTCTACGAACTTCTTTCCAAGGTTAGTTAAAAACCTTAGCCTCCCATTACTTATCTTTCTTCTATCTTTCTCACCTTCATCCTTAAGCTCCATATTTTCCAATTATCTCTGTCATCTTCTAGTTTCCTCCAGCGAACTTTCCTTATCTTCTCCGGTGAGCTTTCCCTTCGTGATTCTTTAACTTTCAGGATGCACTCTGCGAACTTCTTTTCCAAGGTTAGTTCCTTTCCCTTGCTATTTTGCTTAGAAGAGAAAAAACTTAAAACCAAGAAATCCCCTATTTTTAATGGATCCCGATTTCGATGTTCTTCGTTCGAGGAATAATATTCCTAACAACGTTTCCCTTCGTGTTTACCCCACAAACCTGGACGAGAGATCCGAGGAGGGTCTCCTTCCTGGCGAGATCCTATTTTCAGTTCTCCATTTAAATGTAATTAGATTTCTCCTATACCAGTTCTTTTGTTTTGTCTTTAGTCAATTAGGGCTTTCCCCTCTTCAAGTCAACCCCAACTTTCTTAGGGTAATATCAATTCTGCTGCTCCTGAACCGTGACAGTCTATATCTAAACATCATAGATCTTCTTCTTTGCTATAGAGTCACCAAAATCCGAACCAATGAAATGTACTTTCACTTCTTTCCCATTGAGAAATGGTGTATATGTACGAACAAACTCTCATCTGAAAAGGGTTGAGGGAAAAACTTAATTGGGGTCAGTGGAGATTGGTGAACTCCGCTCGGTTTGACTTTCCCTATCCCAACCATTTTCGAAGAGTAATCTGTCCCTTTGTATAAGAAATATAAAAAACATCCGACCGATTTCCCTTGTGAAATTTGCCTTCCTCATTTCTGCACTTTTCTTTGTCATTGCCTTCATATCGATCATGATGAATTGGTTTATAGCATTTGCAGGGTAGACTTGACCTTCTAGAGGAAAGAGTTTTAAACGACATCCCTTCTGCCACCGACCTGCTCACCCTAAGCAACTTTTCTGACATATCCATTCTTGGAACCTTCTGACATATCCATTCTTGGAACCACCATGGAGAATGTCCAGATTCCTTCTTTCAGTAGGAGGAGGCATTCTGCAGCCACTCCCGCGGCTACACCAACCTCTTCTGTGGTCACTTTGACCGTCCTAGTTATGGCTCAGATCGTTGAACGGCCTGGACCCTCTACATCCAACTCAACTGAAGTTCAACCTATCATGCCTAACGACGAACCCTCTGACGCTCCAAACGAAACTTCTCCACTTGCCACCTAGAATACCGAGGGATCCTCTCAGAATGCCGATGGCTCTTCCCCTGTCCGAACTCGCATTTCGGAAAAGTGCCTGGGCAAAAGACCTTAGCCTGAAAGCGGCCATGATCAGAGCACTCTTCCTCCGGCCCAAAGGGCTCGGTCTTTCAGAGTCACTACGACTCTTTACCCCTCAGGTAATCATTTCAGAGGGTGAAATAGCCAGAACCTCTGCCTCTTTACCAATAGTGTCTCCATGGCATCCTTTGCTCAGCCATAAGGACGAGTTTACCCCCACTGACTCTTTGTTCAAAGACCCAGTCACCTCATTTGTTTTCTACAAGGGCATTTGGACCCCTAAGAATATGGAGGTTCAGAACAAAATGACCTTCAATGAGATGTATCAACGTTTTCAAGCAGCTGCGGTTGAGGTAATTCTTCCTTTTTTTTTTCTTTTTTTTTTTTTTTTTTCTTTTTTTAACCTTCTATACTAACATTCCTTTGTTTTTCATGTTCTGACTATTTAACACTTGTACTTTCTAAAACACTTGTGTCATTGTGCAGACTCTATTTGGGATATTCACATTCCAGAAGAGTATTGAACATGCAAACAAGAAAATCAAATCCCTCTCTGCCGGTCTCAAAAGATTTGTTGACTCAGAAAGGATAATCGAGGCTAAGAACACAGAGCTATTGATTAAACTGAATGTGTCATAGAACGAAATGGACGCTCTAAGGGCTGAGAGGAATGCCCTAAAGAACGAGCAAAACTCTCTTCAAGATGAGCTGGACGTTTTGAAGATTGAGAAAAATATCCTGCAGACTGAGAGAGACGCTCTGAGAGTTGAGAAGGGAGACTTTCAACGTACTCTAATTGCTGAACAGTTAACCCATTCCAATTCTAAAGAAAAGTTCTTAAACAAACGCACTGCTCTGCTAATGTCATTGGCAGAATTGATAGTGGCATGAGAGCTCTTCATGCTCGTTTATCTCGGATAGGGGCTTTGAGGTATGTAGAGGGATACAGAGACGGCTTTATTGACAGTTCTCCCCTTGAGGGCTAATCAGCACTTGTGCGAGCCCAGATGAGCTAGATGCCTCCTTGGACATTGACCTGCCGAACACTTACTAGGATCCACTCCCTGCTCTTGCTGAAAACATATTCATTGAGTGCAATGAGATTGCAGCTTTAGGGGTGATCCCACATATTCGTCCTCTGAATGTACCTCCCATCACCACTTTTGTTCCCCCTACATCTGTTGTCATTGATAGAACTTCACTGACTAAGGAGATTATCCATCTTGACTCCCCCTCCAGGGGCAATGGAGCAGCCAATGATGAAAAGGGAGACCGTGAATCGGTTAGTGATGATGATGCAGCCAGGGATAACGAAACGAGCAATTGATCTGTCACTGGAAAGGATGCAACAGAATAGTGTTTTGCTATTTTTTGTACTTGTTTTTCTTTCATTCCAATATCACTTTTTGTACCTCAAGAACTACTTCATAATAATGAATGAAATGACTGACTTTGTTTTGCAAAACTCCAATATTCTAACCCATGCTTGAATGAATTGATACTTCAACTTTTCACTACTTGTTCCTCATTTTATATAAATGTTTGGCGTTCGGCTAGAATGCCACTTGTCACTTGGCTTTTACTTTGTGTAAGTATCTGGTGTTCGGTTCTTAGTGCCATTTGCCACTTACTTGGCTAAGTGTTTGGCGCTCGGCTAGAATGCCACTTGGCTTTTACCTTGTGCAAGTATTTGGCGTTCGGCTCACAGTGCCATTTGCCACTTACTCGGCTAAGTGTTTGGCGTTCGGCTAGAATACTACTTACCATTTGGCTTTTATTTTATGCAAGTATTTGGCATTCGACTTATAGTATCATTTGCCACTGACTTGGCTAAGTGTTTGGCGCTTGGCTAGAATGCCACTTGCCACTTGGCTTTTACTTTGTGCAAGTATTTGGTGCTTGGCTCATAGTGCCATTTGCCACTTACTTGGCTAAATGCTTAGCGCTCGGTTAGAATGCCACTCGTCACTTGGATCTTACTTTGTGCAAGCATTTGGTGTTTGGCTTATAGTGCCATTTACCACTTACTCGGCTAAGTGCTTGGCGCTCGGCTAGAATGCCACTTGCCACTTGGCTTTTATTTTGTGCAAGTATTTGGCATTCGACTCATAGTGCCATTTGCTACTTACTCGTCTAAGTGCTTGGTGCTCGGCTAGAATGCCACTTGCCACTTCGCTTTTATTTTGTGCAAGTATTTGGCGTTCGGGTCATAGTGCCTTTTGCCACTTACTTGGCTAAGTGCTTGGCGCTCGGCTAGAATGCCACTTGCCACTTCGCTTTTACTTTGTGCAAGTATTTGGCATTTGGCTCATAGTGCCATTTACCACTTACTTAGCTAAGTGTTTAGCGCTCGGCTAGAATGTCATTTGCCACTTAGTTTTTACTTTGTGCAAGTATTTGGGTTCGGCTCATAGTTCCATTTGCCACTTACTTAGCTAAGTGCTTGACGCTTGGCTAGAATGCCACTTACCACTTGACTTTTATTTTATGCAAGTATTTGGCGTTCGGCTCATAGTTCCATTTGCCACTTACTTGGCTAAGTGCTTAGCGCTTGGCTAGAATGCCACTTGCCACTTGGCTTTTACTTTTCAAGTATTTGGTGTTCAGCTTATAGTGCCATTTGCCACTTACTTGGTTAATTTTTTCTTTGTTTAATGAATTTTTTTTTTAAAACCGAATGAAATCTTTTTTATAAATCTCAGAGAGTACGTACATTTGTAAAAGCGTAATTCTAAATGAATATTGTTTAGAATGGAGTTCAATCTTTACTGGTAGTACTTTTTTAAAGATGTGGCATTCTATGGTTTGTTGACCAATCTCCCAACCATGGTCTCTAAATTGTATGCCCCCTTTCATATGGCCTCTGCTACTCTGTATGGACCTTCCCAGGGTGACATCATCTTCTTAACAATTCTCACCTTTTTTTTTAGAACTAAATCGCCAGGCGCCAAGTCTCTATAGTTCACCTTTTTATTGTGACTATTCATAAGAGTTTGTTGATATGACGCGAGCCTTACAGCCGCTGCATCTCTTTTCTCCTCCAGCAAATCGAGGTTAAATTTCAACATACTATCATTCTGCTCTTGATTCCATGCTGAACTTTGAACAGTTAGAACTAATTGTTCAACTGGTATTACTGCTTCGGTGCCATATGCCATA